TTCTACTGGATCGAGGATTTTTTGTGGGGGGGGGGGGATTCTGGCTAACCGGTCTCACTTTGCTTTGGCATGTGTCCCTATGCTCTGATTGTCAGTGTTTGGTTTTCAAAGGAATATAAACCAAAAAGAGTAAAACGGAAAAGTCAAATTTTGCTTGTTGAGTCATACTGACTTGATTGAGGAGTCTAAAATGTTTGCACTGTATCTGGGGAGTGGTTGTAGTTGCTGTGGTGTCGCTGTGTATCTTCGAGGTTGGGTTGATTGTATCTTTTTTGGCATGGTCAGTAAAAACGGCTTGACTGAACGCTGGTTCTCCTCATTCCTCGTGCGTTCATTGATGGCGCAATGTGCTGCATGCACTCGGGGCAATAAAAAGGTCATTCAAACCAATAATATAAATGAAAGAGTATTTAAATTAATATTTTATGTGACAGTTCAATTTGACATATTAATATAGATGCTAGAACAGAAGGTTAATAATAATTCTCTTTTTAGTAAAGATGAAAATAAAGCAATCTGACAGCAATATCTGTTAGAGAGGCAGCAAAGTAAAAATGATTTGAAGTACACACTGTACACACTGGCTCCCTATGTGAGATTATTGTTTAGGTTGCATCCATGAAACATTACAATAAGACCACAACACGGGCCATAAATATGTACAAGCATCATATGTGAACTATAGTGTGAACTTTTACAGGTCGCTTATATCATATTAGTCGTTGCATGTAAATTCACCAACATAAATAATATATTTTTAAATAAATTACAAAATAAATCCATGTCCTATTCATCAAATTATAATAGTTTTTCACAGCCCACAAGACATCAGAGTTGAATTCAAAACTTTAATAAAGCATTCTGATATTGTTTACAATAAAATAAGAACAGTTATTATTTTTAAAAGGTGAGTTAAAAAGGTGAGTTTTTTTTACGATCAACAAACAAATAATATAGCATATACAAATATATATTTCCAACGACATCCTTTTGATGACTGAGAAAATGACATACAGTAAATGACAGCCTGTACCTACTGCATTTAGTATTTTCCACCACTAGGGGCTAGAAAGAAGCTCTTTGAGTGTAATAAGCAATAAGTAACATGTTAAAGGCAGGGCCACATTAGAAAGCGGTACAACAATATTCCTTTTGTGTGTCTTTTGGGAAATACATTAAAGATGATTCAGTGAAAACTTAAAATAATGTTGGACGTTTGAGTTAGAAAGTGGTAAAACATTGACAATATGCTGAAAGAGTTGCTACCATCACAAGAGTCCTCTGTATGGCTGCTGTGGGACGACACTGGGCCTCACGCAGGTGCAGCCCACTGTGATCACCTCCGTCCCCAGTCTGAAGCCGTACCATTTCCTCCTCCTGTTACCGGGCCTTTGCTTGGAGATTCTGGAGCGGGATGGAGAAATGAGTGAGTGCTGATTAAACACAGACGATGTCATTGTGAGATCCGTAAATGGAATCACATAGAAAAGACGAGGAAGAAACAAGTTAAAGTCAACAAGACAATCTAATACAATCCAGTGTGTTTCCATTCAGTTTAATAACTCTTAGAAAACAGTGAGTCGATACCTCACCTTGTATTAGTATGCATTAAAAACTCAGCTATAGAAACATTATTTTAAGTTTGTGCCTCTGCCTTCAAATTAAAAGAACTGCTGCCCAGCAGATCGATACCATTTTCATGTCTGTACGGAGCGAGAGCAGGGAGACAATTAGCTTAGCTTAGCATAAAGACCATATTGTTTGACCATATTGCTGTTTTTACATTTCTGTTTTTGTGTAGATTAAACAAACAACGCAATGTGTTAATCAGTCCGTTTTAGAGGTGTATCTATGGGCACTTATTTTTTAAATCTTTGAGATTCTAAGCTAGGCTAATGTGCAGAAGAATACAGTGTTCTCTGTTCTTGTAATCTATGTGTACATAAAAATCCTACTTACGTCCTGGAAACAGTGAAAGTATACCTCATCTTGTACTAGTGTATTAGGTGTATTAGTGCCATTTTACGGAGTCATAACGTCCCAGATTAAAGTCATGCATTTTTGAGAAAAAAACTTCTCTGAGATTCTTGTGACAAATTTATGAAAAAAATCTTGCAAATTTGCGGACATTTATGAGAAACAAAATCTGAAATACAATTTTAAAATCCAGCAATAAAAATGGATTTTCTCTGCCATCAATTCAAAATAACTGCTGCCCAGCAGCTTGTTTCAACAGGAACTGAATCACATTAGGAGAGAAAATGCTCCAAACTACATTTCACTCTGTTTGGTGGACCCACTCAATGACCTTACTGTGTTTCTTTTACACATACGGACGTTTGTAGCACAGTATCTTCAACTAGAAACAAAAGCAGAGGCCAAAACTACATCATTAGCTGCTTTTACAAAGACTGCGGTGGCTCACTTGTGGAGGACCAGGACCTGGTGGTAGATGGGTTTGGCCTCAAGGGCTGCATTCTCTCCTCCCCCCTGCAGGCTCAGACAGCCAGAGGTCAGGCACACAGCATGAAAGATCCGCCGAGGCAACCGAGACTCCACACAGGACTCTCTGGAGAGGGAGGAAACACGTCTTTATGAATGGGAACACAGGCTTTAAAAGTCCAGAACTGAGAACTGAACCGCCGAACAAACGGGTGTTTTTTCTTTGGCACCAGCTTGTGCAAAGTGATGAGAGAAGGACCGGTGAGGCCTCACCTGTACGTCCACGGAGACAGAGACATGTTGGCGATGGTCGAGGCGGACCTGCCGAACTGAGGCGGCACTGAGGGATCCAGGACCAGTCTCACAGACGTGCCACTCAGTCTGGCTCCTTGCCCCGACTTCAGGGAGACCGTCAGACCCAGCACCATCAGAGCTCTCAACACCTGAACGCCAGAACACCAGCAAGGACTTTATCGGTTAGAAGGCATGTCAAACAAAGAAGAAATACATTTACACAAAAAAGATGTATCTGTCATTTGCTTCACAATGTTAAGACCAACAGTTTGGAGGTATTGGATACATTAACTTTTCATTTAAAGTGTTGACATCCCATTGGTACATGTCCCATCGTGAACCCTGTAGTCACCCTGTGAACAGTGATCTGGTGGCCATGGGTAAGATTGAAGCACTCACCAGCAGCATTGTTCGTCTCGCCTGCAGAGCCCGACTTTAACAGTGAGGCGCTCCTGTGCTGTCTCGTCGTGTCTACGTTACGCTCTGTGTTTATATGCAGGCGGAATGTGTTGGTGTGTGTTGGCAAGATCCTCGGTGCATTCCCGCTATGACTGTTCTCTAATTTTTAAAGATCTCGATCTGGAGATAAGATTTTGTGGTCTTTCCTGGTCCCCCGTCCACTCGTTACTTTCTACCTGTGTGTGCACTTTTCTCATTGCCTTAGATCCTGTCGTTACAGCGACATACATTTCAAACATGCGAAGACCATCCTGCACTGGATGACAGTTACTACTTTTGTGTTGCATAAAGCATTGTTTTTTTTACTTGGCCCCATTTTGACCTGTCAGTGCCTAGAAGAAGCAATACTTCCTCTGAGTGAGATGAGCCAGCTGACACCCAAAGGTGTGAAAACCCTTGTTCTCCTATGGAACTCTTTGATGTGGTTGTGAAAACACTATTTGTTACTTTTATGGCAAAAAAAAAATGTGTTTTTGAGTTAACGAAAAAAAGCACTGGTGTGAAAATCTGCAACTGAAGCTTGATTTTATTTTTTTGTTCTTTCAGTGCACAAAACAAACCAGCGATAATTTTGTTAATCTAAACCAAAGTGTAAGAGCCATATGACTTGATAAGATGTCTTAAGTGATTTGTGTAACAAACATGTGGAAATGCTCCTTTAGTTGCATTACTGACTACGTCACAGCCAACAGCCCTCAGTTGAGGTTATTCAGTCTGCAGAGCAACATAGTTTTTTGACCGTTGTGCTAACGCTGTGACAAGTTGGGCAAAGAATGTATCTTGTAACTTTATTTTGTTGAGTAAACCTTTTTAAATGAAGCTACTGCCTACGAAGATTCATTACGCGTCAAACTTATTGCCAAAACCAGACTGTAACAGTAGTGGTAATGTGGACTATCGGAAGGAGGGAAAATTGCCGCTACATTTGAGTCAAAAAACTATGTTGCTCCGCAGCAACAGATAGAAACAGATCATTATTTATAATGTCTTGAAATGGTCCTGTTATTGTTAGTAGACCTTTAAGAAACCGACTCATCATCACGAACAGCCTCAACTTTGATTTACTTCTGCGAGTCATATAAAACACTAGTAAGCACACCTACACACTGCCAGCCCAGAATGAACGATGTAGGTCAGGGAAACGCTGAGGAGACGTCTGGTAATGAATCAGCAGAACCACTTTCAAACAGAAACTGTGTGATAGCATCTCCTCTCCTCCTGCATCATAAGGAGCCTACGAACTGGAGCACGGTTACTGTATGTAGAAGTGAGGAGAGTCGGGTTCAGAACTTCTGCGCTATCTGACCGAGTTTGCAGCATAAAAAATCCTTCTCACGAACACCCGATCTTGTGACCTTAAACCTGGTGCTAGGATAGAAACTGACCACTTCTTCAATGGGTTTATTGAAGGCCTGGCGGGCCTCATGTTCAGCTTGAAACACATTTTTAAACCCAGTTGAAGACTTCTGACCGTAACTCCTCTGTCGTTGTGACATTAACGTTACTCAACATGAGACGGCTCGAACACGTGTTGTGATTGAAACAGTTCGTCAAAAGCACCCAACGAGCTGGTGGCTTGGCCGGGGATGAGCTGTTTCTCCACGACGATGTAGAAAAGCATCCATTCTGTTCCGGGTTCGGCCAACAGCAATGGTGTGTGGTTGTTTACCGTCCATGCTGCAGCAAGAGTGAAGAACAGAACAGTAGCGTGAACACCTTAAAGTGATAGCTCAGATTCTTACTCACACAGTGCTGCTCCATGAGAGCTCAATAGATCCTCCAGTTTGACCAGTCGACTGCCCCCGTGTAGCAAGAACCCACGTTTTACTGGGAGTACAATCCTCCCCAATAAATGAGGAGGATACTGCTGACCTGTACCTCCACTTTCATTTGAAGGAACACGCTCCCACTGAAGCGTGCGTAAGAATCTGAATTATCACACAGGGGGAAGGAAGAGCTAGCAGGTTAGCATGTTCTGCTCCCTGCTTGCTTGGATTAGGACAACAGAAACTGTGGGATTGCCACTCTGAGCATCTTCATCGACATGATGGTTGTCATGGCCAAGTTGAACTAGTAGTAGTATGATACATCATTACCTGTGGCAGAAAGGGATCACAGAATTATCACTAAATGCTCTGAGAAACTGAAATAGAGAGAAGGGTTGTTTACACAGAGGGTCCCACTCTTTATGTGGAACAGGAGTCTGAATGTAGTGCAGCCTCATCTTTAGTTGTGAGTTTAAGGAGACAATTAAATAAAATTCTTGAAGCAAAGGTTTTGTGACATACTGACATTTGGGAAATCACATCCACTAGTATTCACTTTCTTGCCAATAGTTATTTCTAATAATAATAATAACTACTTTATTTATATGGTACCTTTAAAAACAGAGTTTACAAAACGTACAGGGAGCAAGTGGAGAGAAGCCAGGGTTGGGGTGATGTGATGTTGTCTGTTCAAACCAGTAAGAAGCAGAGCTGCTGCGTTCTGAACTAGTTGGAGGCGAGAGAGTGACTTTTGGTTGAGGCCAGAAAGAAGGGGGTTACAGTAATCAAGTCTTGAAAAGAACAATGCATGAATAACTTTTCCAGGTCAGGTTGAGAGAGAATTCTTTTGACTTTGGAGATGGTTCTAATTTACAGGACTGTACAACTTTTGTGATTTGTGGTTTGAAGCTTCAATCTGAATCAAATAGTACTCCTGAGTTTCTGGCAGTGGACTTTATGTTAACGGACAGGGGGCCAAGGACACTTTTAATGGGAGTGATAGGGTTTGGGGGACTAAATATTATGATTTCTGATTTTGAGTTATTGAGTTGAACAAAATGTTGTGCCCTCCAACAGTTGATATCATTAAGACAGCCTGGATATGAAGCTAAGGCCACTTAGCTTAGCATTAAGACAATTAACCTGGCTCTGTTCAAAGGCAGCAAGACCTTCTATCACTCTGTTTCTTGTGGACATTAAACAAACCAAATTTTAAGTCATTTTTAAGTGCTGGTAGGCAGATTTAGCTATTTCCCCGTCAGCTTAATGCTAAGCTAACCAGTTTAGCACCTTGCCGTAGCATTTTAATTACTGTTGAACTTTTACGTTGAACTATTGCTTTCAGACATTAAAACAAAAAGACCTAAAATGCAAGCCTGTCTTCTCTTGCACTTTACCAAAACTCACAAGCAATGACTGCTAATCCGCCAGCGATTTTTCTTTAGGAGGGTCACAGTAACTTTGAATAATTTTTTTATTCTAAGAAGTTTCTATAATCATGTGTAAGACGCGAGGCCGCTGCAGCCTTTGATACCATACGTGATATGAGTCAACCGTGGGTGTCGAGAGCCCAGAGCCTCTCATGTCCTGGATGATTGTTGGCCTTATCATCAGACTGATCAGAACCACAGCAGAGTTACATCACAAAGCCGAAAGTCAGATACCGTACCTCTGTGATGTTGTGGGTGCAGCGACGATGTGGACCCCCCCTCCACCACCACCTGAAACATAAGCCGACTCGCCATGCTGAACTGTTAAGTGAGGTGAAGCAGTGTGTCAGGGGAGGTGGGAGCTGAACATAGGGGAGTGTGAACTTCATGGGACCGGCCTCCCACACGGAGTGGATTCTTGGCGGAGTTTCAGATTCAGTGCTTCTTGTAAACACTCTGTAACTCAAGCAGGAAGAGGTTTAATCATAAGAGAGCAGCTCTTCTGGGAAATGACAAAGTTCCCCAGCATCTCCGACCATTTTTCAATTTCACTATTTAAGCTCTTCATTGAACAGGTGTTCCATGCACATTTTTGACATTCAAGTTCATTTCCACACTATTTTTTGGTACACTGGAATAAATAGGTATGAACAAATTAGTATGGTTTATATTTTGTAAGACCTTTTGCAAGTGCATGGGGCATGCAGTGATTTCTCAGGATGCAAAGTATGTATGCTGCACAAAAACAATTTGTGCTGGGCAATGATTAAAATATTTAATCGCGATTAATCGCATTTTTATGGCAAAGTTCAATAATGAATTCAAAAGTAGTGTATTGCGCACTTTTATTTTAAAAGTAGTGCTATATGAACAAAAGGGCAATAACATTTGGTTCACGAGATGCAGGTAGCATGTTTTATACTTAATGTGAATATAATTCATACTTTGTTGGCTTCTTATTCTGAAAACCGGATGTTCTTCTGAAGAAACCGGATGTTGTCTCACGTTAATCTTTCCGCTAACTTTCAAAGTCCTTCGCTAGCTCCCAATCTGTGCCGTTTAAATGCGTTTACCGTGAATTTCAGCATATAGGTGCATTAAAATGACTGACTATAGGATGTTTGCTGGCTTTTATCCAACTGTTCTTGTCATCCTCTTGTTATGTATATGTATTGTATGTATATGTAAAAAAAAAATTATAATAAATTTAAAAAATGCGTTAACGCGCGATAAAATAATTGTCGGCGTTAATTAATGAATGCGTTAACGCGAAATCAACGCGTTAACTTGCCCAGCACTAAAAAAAAATATAAACGAATCACTTTTGTTTTGCTGCCAGTTTCACTAGTTGAAATAAAAAGAAACGCTATTTTCTACACACACAAAAGTCTTATTTCTCTCGTTCTGGTCAAAACAAAGTTTGTTTTATTGCACTTCTCCTTCGTGGCGAATCAAGATGCTGACGTTACTACACAGGTGTGTCTTGGGCTAGCCACAAAAAAAACAAAGGCCACTCTGCAATACGGGATATATCTCACCACAGACAGGTTTTGAGAGAGCTTTCCATTGTCATGCCAACTGCAGGACTGTCGCGCAGAGTCATCGTATGTGAATCGAACATTCGTTTCACTGCCGCGAGACGTCTCCAGCTGTCGTTTCTGAGAATCTGGTGGTGCAGCCAACAGTGCTCGACGTCCTCGCGTACACCAGGGTCTTGACCAGACAGCAATTTGACATCGTGACCGACTCGAGTAGCAAATAAAAAAATGCACATCTGTA